AACATGAAATAATTCTGATATTGATTTAACTCAATAAAACATGATAGAGAATCCCATTGCAGCAACTTGTGCAAAATAGAGCCATACTAAGACAGAGAAATAGCAGAATAGAACTGCGGGAAAAGAAAAAAGGCAAGGAAAAGGAAAAAGGAACTCTCCCTAAGCTCTCTCCTCATACAAAGCCAAATTCTACTTTAGCCTCCTTCTCTCCTTCTACATTTGTAAATATTCCCGCCACCAGCCAACTCTATCCCTTCTCCACCTCTTGTCCTATGCAACAGCTAACTAATGCAGACCTTGGCCTGACAACTATAGGCTCATTAGGAGACCTGTAATTAAGAATTTCTGAATACATGGAGATGGCAAGTTTCACTTTATGCTTCAACTGTAGTGACTAACTTGGTTCAGCTATGCTATAACAGGAAGGAAAACCTCTTGTTTTGAATGTAGTGCGACGAGTAGAAGAACAACTGGTTAATGACAGGTTAGTGGGCATCTATACTTTTTTTTGTTTTCATTTGAACTGTATTATTTTTAATATTAAACTCTTAAGGGATTTTACTCTGTATCTCTTTCAGGTCACGCAACAAGGAATACCTTCCTATTGTTGGGTTGGTCGATTTCAATAAACTGAGTGCTAAACTCATTTTCGGTGCTGACAGGTTAAAAATATAACTTTCCCCTTTTATTTTATTCTAATTTATTTTTAAAAACATATCCTTAACGAACACATGTTTAACTTGAAAGATAATTTGTTGGCTTATTTTATTGGATGTAGCCCTGCTATCCAAGAGAACAGGGTAACCACTGTTCAATGCCTGTCTGGAACTGGTTCATTAAGAGTTGGAGGAGAATTTTTGGCTAGACATTATCATCAAGTATAATTCTTCATCCTCAACTTTCTTCCTCTAATTTTCCTTGAAAACTGATTACTATATAGTGCAAACTGCAAATTTACATATTTGACTTTCCGGTCTCTTTAGCGAACCATATACTTGCCCCAGCCAACTTGGGGGAACCACCCAAAGGTCTTCACTCTAGCAGGATTGTCAGTCAAAACCTATCGCTACTATGCTCCAGCAACACGGGGGCTTGACTTTCAAGGTCAGAAATTACATGTCATATCAGCTTATGAAGTGCTGGATCCTGATCTTTTTTGTATTTTTGTCAATGTGCATTGTGATTCTGGCTTTGCATGTTAAGTAATATTTTTCTATGTTTCTAACAGGACTCGTAGAGGATCTTGGTTCTGCCCCATCTGGATCTGTTGTTTTGCTACATGCCTGTGCCCATAACCCTACTGGTGTTGATCCGACCCCTGAACAATGGGAGCAGATTAGACAACTGATAAGATCAAAAGCTTTGTTACCTTTCTTTGATAGTGCTTATCAGGTAGGTCTCTTGAATGCAACAAATATTTCAGTGCTTCCTTCTTAATATGAAGAACTTCTTTGGAATGATGAGATAGTAGTCCATCAACCACCCAAAAATTAGGAAGCAAACCACAGAATTCAAGTTTCATAAACTAAATTCTTAGCATGATCCATGATAGACCTTGTCTGCAATATAGTTTTTATTTATTATGCTTTAAATATTTGATTATGTGTTTTTCAAGAAAAAAAATGTGTCTTTTAAGGCAATCATCTTTTGGTGCTACAGGGTTTTGCTAGTGGAAGTCTAGATGCAGATGCACAGTCTGTTCGTATTTTTGCTGCTGATGGGGGCGAATTACTAGTTGCCCAGAGCTATGCAAAGAACATGGGGTTGTATGGAGAACGTGTTGGCGCTCTAAGCATTGTAAGAGTTGAACTTTTGAGTGCAAATCATCTGATATGTGTTCCTCCCTCTTTAAAATGAGTTTTTTTCTCGTTAAATAATTTCTCCAGGAAAAAAGGTTCTGGTGTTTGCTTCAGAGAGCTGACTCATTTTTTTTTTTTTTTTTGTTTCTAAAATCTTAATTCAGGTCTGCAAATCAGCTGATGTTGCAAGTAGAGTTGAGAGCCAGCTGAAACTTGTGATCAGGCCGATGTACTCAAATCCTCCCATTCATGGTGCATCTATTGTAGCTGCCATTCTCAAGGATAGGTAATTAGTGATGATTCTTTTAGTTGCTTCGCTTGTTTATTAGAAGAGATAAATTTAGTTGTTTAGATTGCTTCTAATGGCTGTGCTTTGGTCCTTCCAGTGTATGTCAATTATATTTTAAGGTAGACTCAGTTTTTAAAAATAAATGTAAATTATGTTTATCTTATACTTATTGAAAGTGAATCTCATTGAAAACATCCCTTGCATGTGTTTAGTCATCATTGAATTTGATACATCTATTTTTATAAATTAAGTTTAATTAAGAATTAAGAAATTTTCCATTTAGTGCTGCTAGAATTGAGATGCTGGTATGTATTGCATTTTTGGGTAATATTTCCTGAAGCCTTTTGTTATGAAGACCCTTTTTATCTACATCTTTCAGGGACTTGTACCATGAGTGGAGTGTTGAGTTGAAGGGAATGGCTGACCGCATTATTGCAATGCGCCAACAACTTTTTGATGCTTTGCGTGCCCGAGGTCAGTTTTCTGATAGTCTCCCCCATACACAGTTCTCTTTAGTGGTTTCTGGGGCGGATCATTATCTTGGTGGTTACACCTGTCTTAAGTTTTTAAAATTTTTCTGGGTCTGCGCTCACCCATTGTGGATGTTGCTTATCGAAGTTTTATTTGGTTTTCCTTCAAAATTGAGCAGGTACTCCTGGTGACTGGAGTCACATTATTAAGCAGATTGGAATGTTCACTTTCACGGGATTAAATGCAGAGCAAGTTTCCTTCATGAACAAAGAGTACCATATATACATGACATCTGATGGGTACGTTGCTGTAGACTCTCTAGACTTCTGGGGAGCTCTCGTTATGCTCCAGCAGCAATCATATCCAAAATATGAGTTGATGTCCCAGTGTTTTTCATAGGATCGAAACAATATGAATATCTTTCATTATTGATAAACGTTATCTCTTACTAACGCATGAGTTGGGAAAATCGTTGCGGGAGTTATTTAGGTAGGATATATATATATGTATTTTTTTCAGATGATCCAATCAGTGTGTGTTGAATGTGCAGGAGAATTAGCATGGCTGGTCTGAGCTCCAAGACCGTCCCCCATTTGGCGGATGCAATACATGCAGCTGCAACTCGAGTGGCCTAGAATATGATTCCGATATGATCTTATTTCTTTCAATTCTCTGTTCCATTTTTAGAGAAATAGGATGAGCTATAAGGAGAGAAGGCAATAAAAAATCTATTTTGGATGGCAATAACACTCATCTGCCCGCTGTGGAGGTCTTCAATCTGTTTATCGTAACATCAACGACTATTTGTGGTTTAACTTGTTATGAGAATTTAGAACTCAGATCTACACATTTTATGTTTGAACGTTAAACCGCAATTTTGTTTATCAAAGCGTGCAAGGTAACTGTCATCCAAGTAGCCAAAATGCAGCAAATTTCAAGCCGCTTCGTTTATCTACTTGGGCACATATTACTTGCCAGGTGCAACACATATTACTTGCCAGGTGCAATAAAATAACGATAATGTGACGTTAGGAAATTGCTACGATTTTGCGTTTATCAAGCTTACGTGAGCAGAGGATTTGAAAGTTTTCCGGAGACAAAATAAGCCTCCAATTTGAATGCAATTTTAGTATTCAAATTGAGACGCTACTTCATGATTAAATGGCTAAATCCTTTTTCTAATAGACGTGAAGTTGAGAAAAACGGCTACAAATCATCGTGCGGAAGGAATTCTGATCACTTAGGCATGAAATCTCAGTTTGGATGTGAATGAACAAAACATCAGAGAGCTGCCCCAAATAAAGCCAGACAAGATTCAATTCTGACCCAATAAAATAGCCATATTAAAAAAACAGCTTCATGAAAAAAAGTTCATATTCCATTTCTAAAAATCAACAAACGGAAACAACTTGATGAATCTTATAAAATGACTAACATTTCATCTTCAACAGTGGATTACATTCCCGTATATATCTTGACGCGGATAGAAATGGCCTAATAGCTTGGGTTCTGATGGATCGAGCGAGAATCGTAGGATTTGGAGGAAGGTTTGCCATCGCGAACAGTAATATTTGGTTGATGAGAGTTTCTTCAACAGGAAGGTAGGTAATGTCTCGGACTCCATGGCTAAATAAATGTGCGCCGGTCCTCCAGTCAGACAATACGGGATTTGGCAAGAGTGTTCATGCAGAGTTTTGGGCGAGCTCGTTGGGATCGAAGATGGCTTCCTTGAAACGTACTAGTGGCTTGGATGCAGGCTAAGTTGGTTTGGTCATCTTCCCCTTATATTAAAAACTAAAATAAAATAACACTCATTCTTTCTTTACCTCGAATAAAAATCATTGAAAACACATTTCATATAACTTAAACCTAGATTCATTTCAACAATCGGGTTAGGATGGGAGGGGCTAAGCATCATTCCCTCGTCCGTGTGAACCTCCAGAGTTTGGTCAAGGCTGTGTCATTGTAACAAGCATCCCATACACGAGTAACTCACAGGTATCACTCGACAAGATCAGATAACATCCACTTTCAAGATGGGACGACTCGATTCAAGTTCACATGCACATGTACAATTAAGAGACACGGCACAAAGTGTATGGCAAGATATGATCATGTAATAAAGAATGCAAATTGCACATTTGCCTCCCTATCCTGAAGATGGCATAATCAATTTCCAGACATTACAAGAGAACCGCATGTAGAATAAATAATGCAGAGGAAGCAACTATATTTGTTACCTTTCATATCAGGTTAGATTTCCTTTCTATTTTTGCCCTGTTCACCTTGTTCACAAACTCATTGAGAAGCTTCTCCACACTCACACTTACTAACCTAATTATGAAGTATAAAACCAGATAACGGTGCTCCTCCAACCTGCTTTGAAAAGGGGAGAAAAATGCACAGCTCTGCGTGTAAATAACATTCATAACGTTTCGGTGTTGAAACCCAACTTGACCAACATTTATTGTAGTTTCCTTTAAATTGGACAAGGTCGTGTAAAAAATGATGGTTTTGTTCGCATAGGTGAATAACTTTCCTGTATTCCTGGCTCAGATAAAAATGATCCAAAACAAGTCAAAAGAATCACAGTTTCATAAACTTATCTTAGCCTCAGCTACGGGGCTCTGTCAAAGGGTTGTGTGTCATTGTAACAAACATCCCAAACAGCTTCCATGGCATCTTTGGCAGCCGCTTCGGAGCAATTAGGGTTTCCAGACACTGAAGCCCTAACTCTTCGTCTCACACATTCTTGTTCATGGCCACGTATCTTCAAATGACCTCGCAACAGTTCCCGTTTGTAATGACAATCACCACTTAGATGATTGGCTCGGATCTCGCTACAAGCATGGTGAGCACAATTATTCCAATCCAAGTTGGCAGCACGACACTCATCAAACGCATGAATCAGTTCATGAGCTATCACCTGGTTAACCTCATCTTGTAAATTTATTTTATTCACACACACTACTATCCCTTCACCGGGAATGTAACCGCCACTTCTGTTCACATCGCAATTTACAGCTCTGAAGAAATTGTTGCCCACAGGACAACCGGCTTTCTCCAAGCGTTCCCTCAAAAATTTCACCATCGGAGTTCGGAGGCTTTTCTGGATCATGGATTCGCATTCCTTCACGGTTTTTCCGCCGCCGTAAGCAGACGATGACGCCGCTTGCTCTTCCATGCTTCAGTTCAGAGGCGGGGAAACACCCTAGGCTGAGATTTCATTCAACGTGCGCCGTTAGTTTTAAATAAATCTACTTCCCTTGGGCCAACCTCATTTTTTCATAGAAAGTTTGGGCCAGCCTTTGTGACCTGCATCCGTTTATCTCGTCCGAATGGTGGGGAGAGACTTTTTTTTTCTTCACAAAAAATTGAATTAAAAAAGCACTTATTATCGAGAGACTTTTGGGAATATGTTTTCTGCAAAAACAAACTTCAAGGCTCCTCTGGTGGCCCAAATTCAAACAACTGGTCGGATTCCGACGGAAGCAACGCAAGGAATCTTTTCCCCCTTTCACCTCGTCTGATTCGATCCTCTAGATATTACTCCCTCCGTTCTTTATTATAAGAGACATTTGATGCTTATGGCATGTTCCTATATATAAGAGACACTTAAAAGTTGTCTCTACTTTTTTGTATTGATTTCCTATTTTATCCATATTTATTGTTTCCAACTCACACTCTCTCTCCCTTCTACTTTTCTTTTTTTTAATAATTTAATTGTTCTCTCTCATGCTCTCTCTCCTTATTAATGAGGGCATTTTTAGGAAAAAAATTATATTTTTTACACATTGATTGTTCTTAACTAATTTTAACTGCTTTTTTTATCAACGTAATTCGGTTATTTGTCTCTTATAATAAGAAACGGAGGAAGTAGTACATATACATAAAAAATAAATTAACAAAGTCACTTATTTATAATTCATAATTATAGCACTTATCTTAAACCTTGTGCAATTATAAAATATACGCCACGCTGTCTTTTAATATTCTTGGCACGGTCTAGCCTGCCAATACAAATCGAAGTTCAAGATTCAAAGAATTTTACCATAAATTTTATACCACAATTAGACGTAACCATGACACACAGCTCATGAATAATGCTTCTCTCTAGATTTTCTATCTTATATGTTTATTTTTATTGACTGCAACGAAAGAAATAATAAAATTTAACAAGATTAGCATTAGCATTCAAGCCAAGGGTAAACCAAAAACCAAACTAGAAGAGCACAACAGACCGTTATAATGGTTGCTTAACAAGGAATTGTAGTTGGTCACCTTCGACCACGAATAAACCAAGTTTAAAACCAGCGTTGAGCAAGGTTCTGTGTCAGGTATCGTCGTCATCAGGCACAGAGGTAAATCACTTTACCCCCCGCAAATCCCCCCTATTTTTCCCTCGCCTCAAACAGCACACACTACGAGCTCTCTTAATCCAGGTAGGCAGATTACTACCGTTTCAACTTCTAAAGTTTAGTTATTCAATCAATATCTTCATCTGTTGGGTGGCAGATTGGTCGCCAGTTAATTATATCCAATCAGCAATGCTTACATGAAATCGTCCTCCAGTTCCTGCAATGATTTACTGCCTGAAGCTATTTGTTTATTGGATGTCATATTTTCTGACACCATCAGACCTTTGTAGCTCCTTAGTTCTGCCTGCCTCTCCTTTTCCATTCTGTCCAATTCTTCCCGCCGTTTCTGTACAAAGAAACAGAAACATATGAGTTTACATTCGGTAAATCACATGTTCAACAAGTTTTCGCATTTAGGCAAGACAGTCTGCTGGGCATGCAGAACTAACTGGATGCCAAGAGAAAGGACATTTCACCAACTAAATGAATGCAAAATGAATTTCACATACTCTACAATCTGCAGCCCAAAGACAAATGTCACTAAGACATGTTTTAAGAATCATACCCGCAAGAAACCCTACAATACGGTCCTAGATTCTCAACACGTCACAAACATCTACTACTTAATATGGCAACTTAGCCAAGAATCACACTGAAAGCATTTTACCACATGTAGTTATTATGAAAAAACCGTCTTTATATTCAAGTTAAGCTCTAGTTACAGGTTGACTATTGAAATCTGAATATGACTGCAGATTATGCTGTGTATAGAAATTGGGAATCTGACAGCAATACTTGGCTGTACTATTACCAAAACAGCGATCCTACCAAACTCACCTTTTCCCTCAGCTGTTGTTTCCTTTCTGCTCTTTCAGCAGCATTAACTGCTTCTCGCTCAGCTGCAATACAGACAGCAAACACATATCATGAGTAATATACAGGCTTCACTAGGGCAAATATTGGAAAATATTCAATTTCAAGATCAGACAAGTCAAATCAAATTTACAAACATGTATAAATGAAATACCCAAATGGCAACTTAGACTACGGCTCAATATGATCATGTAATTCAACATGTAAATGGCATATTTACTCCCTAGCCTAAAAATAACATACTCAATTTCCAGCACTCAAATGTACAAAAGGTAACTTTATGCAGAATGATCATAAAAGGAAAGTGACTATGTTGATTACCTTTCAAATCAGGCTTCCTTTCCACTTTTGTTTTGTTCAACCTGTTCACAGTCTCATTGATCCGCTTCTCCACTCTCACAGTTCGAACCTAATTATTAAGTATAAAACCAGATAATGATCAATTATAAATGCATTCCAAGACACAAACTCCCTACCTTACGGCCTTGAGGATGAAAAATAGCAAATTCTCAGCATGTAAAAACATTCACCATTTTTGGGTTGTGAAAACCAACTTGACCAACATCCATTGAAGCAGTTTTCTTTAAATTGGACCAGGGAGTGTAAACAACATCAACATTGTTCACCTTATTTCCTGCCATGATTTCATTTTAAAACGAAAATGTAAGATCAAAACAAGAAGGGTCGTAAACACAAAAAGTTGTTTGACAAGAAAATACTGACATAAGAGGGTTAAAAGTTATGCATCCGTTTCTTTAAGCCTAATAACAGAGTTGCCGTCAATCTGACATTCAGTTATAACTTTTAGGGCGTGTAACTAAAGAAACCACAATGATCAATTATACTGAGGAATTGAAGAGCAGACGGTCAGCCCTTTTTCACCTTGAATTGAATTTGCTTTGACAAGCTGAGCACAGTCTTCCAGCAAACCTTCGCTTATATCATCAATAGTCTGACCTTTATGCAGTCTAACATAGACATGGGCGGAAGACATTTTATCCACATGGAACCTGCAAGGTATGGACAATCAGACCCTATCGTTATAGCTTCAAAATGGAGAAGTGAGTGGGGAAACTATCTGAACAAACCCTACATTGGAAGGGGAAAAAAAATAGTTGCCTGATAATATTATGCATTCATACTAATGTACCGTTCTTTTAAGTTGGAAAGTAATGAACCATTCAAGATAATATATTTATATATATATATGTTACAACTTACAAGTTCCAAATAACGGTATTGAAATCATAAAGAGAATTTGTCTTCAAATCCTTTGTTTTTTTTTCCCAAAAATTCTAAATTGATAAATAGCAAAGACATATTAAAATCAAAATAGAACAGCAGACAAATTAAAATAAAATACTGGAAAACAAGCAAACAAAGCTATACTTTTTCCGTAAGGTGAATTTGTAGATAAACCGCCGAGAAAATCAGGAAATCAAGCAGTAGTTCAGGCGATACAATTACGAATGTGTAAGCATCAAATGCGTCTTTTTATCAAAAAGAAACTGCAACCCCAAACCCTGTACGTTCGGTATTCAAGGTGCATACGGAGTTGTAAACATAATTGTCTCTGAATTCCAATACAAAAAAGCAAAGGCAGGAATGGATTACCAGATGTCTTCGGGGAAACCGTATCTGATAAGCTCCTCGTTCTCGTATTTGTCAAGACCCATGAAGATGGTGTAATCACCGGCTTCTGGGCGTGCTTTGAAGTAGAACACCATGGTGTTTCTTTGCTTTTACGCAGTCAAGAGGGGGAAGGAGGGAGCGATTGATCGATCGATCGATCGAGCAAGCGATAGAGTGTGTTAGGGTTCTGAGCTTGAGAGGGATAACCAGGCCCCCGTTACCAGTTTAAAAACGCAACAAATATAGGAAAAGGCCCCTCATTGTCAATTTCCCATTTATTTCCGATTTCCACTAAAAACAGTATGCCGAAAAGACAAATAGGGCATCCGGGTCAGTTCACACAGTGGTAAATGTTTATGGTGAATTTCTTAAAATCTTTTACCTCTCATAAAAAAATCGTTTTCCGACTCGCGGCAAATATATGAACGGCTCTTTCCCGAGTAGGCCAGTTTTTATGATGCAGTATTACTCTCTCGTTTTTTTATAATTTTAAGTATAAAATATATATTTTTCTGTATTTTTATATAATTTTTCAGTCTGGTCCAACAATTTTAAAAAATATATTTATAGTTTTTTATTTGTAAAATTATTAGTTTTAACTTTTAAATGATGATTTTTTGTAATAATTATAGTTGTTTTGAAAGTTAAATTTAGTAGCTTAGCATTTGAAAATATTTTATCAATACTCAATATCTCAATATCATTATTTTTTGTTAACAGTTTTAGGATTAAAGAAGTAAAAGTATATTTTTTAAAATTAATGAACTAAATTAAAACTTTATATAAAATTGAAATGCTAAAAGTATTTTTAGCCTAATTTTTATAGGCTTTCCCAGCTATAAGTTTTTACAAGTTATAGTAAAAAATATCTAAACATTTAATATATCTTTTATTTTTACTTCTAATTCATTATATGCACTTTTTTCCCCCAAATTCTCTCTTGCGCTTATCGTCTATAAAATAAGGATATATCTGAAAATATATATATTTTGCATTGCTATCATTTTTAAATAATTTTAATCTATTTCTTAATATGCATAACTAGGTATTTTTTAATTAATTTTTTCAGTTATCTGTACCTATAAAAAGCACCAGAGATAATATATAAAACAACAACAACAAGTTTTATCCCACTAGATGAGGTCGGAGCAGAGATAGTATATATTAAAATTAAAACTAGAATCTCATTGCAACGCACGGAAAATAAGGCAATTACAAGGAAAATCGAAATATTATGTATAATGTGTAGAGTAACAAAAATTAGAGGACTCGCCACACAAATTCATCATCATACAGCCAGGTGAACAAATCCTCACTGCAAGAATAATATGGAACTCGACATTAAAACTTTAGAAGCAACCGTGTGGTGAAGGCTCTAAAACAGAGCCAATTATCTATCTGCAGAAGTCGTCAAATCCCATGTAGTCACTCCGCTGAATCTTCTCAATCATGTCTGATATGCCAACCCCACCTACATAAACAAACAAAAGGTGGGTGGATCAGTCGTAGATAACAAGTTAAAACCTCGTAAGAAGCAAAAAATGCTATACTAAAGCCTAGTAACTTTTTTGCTGGACACTCACCCAATGCAATTGTACTAACAAATATGGTGAAGGCCACAACAAAGATAATCAGAGACGCCCTTCCAAATAATCTAACCAGCTTATCAATGATATATTGCCCTACGTATGCGGAAATGGCCGCCACAGTGGTCAGATACAGAGCTGCAAACAACAAAACACCAAATGGTCATTACATGTTACTTTCAGTTCTGCTGGACCGAAACAAATGACTAAAAAAGCAGTAACCGATGAATATTATTATTCAGAACTTTACCGTAAGGAACCGGAAAACGGTTCAAGAGGTAATACTGTACAACAGATATGGATGCAGAGAATGCCATTCCTAACGTGGCCGTGGCACTGGCTACCTGCAACACAATTTTTCAGCATAAACAACTTAACACACTTTGTGAATTCCGATGTAATGTCCTTGACATGTTCAAAAAGAAGGCAAGCTCACCTGAGGGGCGATTCCTAGTTCCATAAATAAAGGACCCATAACAAATCCACTACCTACGCCGAGAAGGCCACCGACGATTCCGGCGCACAGAGCACAAACAATGGCCAGAATCAGATGGTGCAATGGCAAACGAGTGCCTTGGTCTCCTTTGGAAGGGATAGCCCTCCATCCCTGATAGAGGCCTATTGCTTGGTATAGATACACTCCGAAAGAAACCGGCACCTGCAAAATATCACAAAATTAAAGTGATGATTCTTCATTTTAAGCTATGCCTCTCGTGTGCGTGTAGTATATGCTTGCCTGTAAAAAGTTTACAATCCAGAATGTGACTGAACAGGTAGCTGTGTGAGTCTGTGAAAAATATATGTTTGACCGTTAGTTCCAGAAATGTTCAAAGGAAAAGGGAGAGGACGTAGGGACAGAAGAAAGCGACCTTGGCAATCTGCAGGACAGCGTATGAGACCCAGACGAAGCAAAGAAGTCCGAACTCTTTCCAATAAATGTTGTCAATAATGGAGACCTGAATCAATAGTTCCATTCAATAAACAAAGGTCAAGATTTCTTTTTTCCAGAAGACAAAAAAACAGAGACTACTACGAGATATGTTAAGTCAATCACGATCGCTAATAGTTTCCCAACCTGAGCTCTTTCAACGTCCACCCCTGGCCCTGAAGGGAGAGAGCTGTACTCTGCTAACCCACTGGCCGTTTCTGCATAAAAACAGCAAAGCCCCAATCCAGTTCTTTTTCACTCTTAGATATAAATATAAGAATATAGTTGAGCATGCACTAAATATAAGAATATAATTGAGCATGCACTAAGTTAACTCTTTAATAAATACACGAACCAGCAGATTCCAAAAGCTTGGCGGTCTCCTGCAACTTTAAAAACAAGCGAAACAGCATTAAGTCGATATAGTAATTCAGTCCGGGATGGTTAACTTCCCAACCAGGGACTAGCTAAATGCAACAACCTAATCAGAACTGTAACTTCCAAGGAAAAGGATTCACTTGCGTGAAGGCGTGGTTAGATGTGAACCTTTTTTACTCTGGTTTCCTGTTTCCATGTATCAGCACCCTTGAAGAATGCCTTGATCGAGGTACCTGAAGGCGCCCAGATAGAAAACGAAGCATATGGATGTTGCCAAGCGGGGATATATTGAGTTAAAGCAAGTAACTAAACAGTAAACATCTGTCTGAACATTAATTACCTATGAAGATAATGATCAACAGAACAGTGATCATCCAATTCGCAAATACAACACTCAAACTGACTCCTATGCTAATCCCCAGCATGATTATGGGCAACATGAGCAGTACAAGATTATAGTCAATTAAGGGTATATCGAACGTGGGATGCCTCAGCTTCAAGTTGAAGTAAACAGTGGAGATGCCTGCCCCCGTGATCATACCTGCAGGATCATTTTGTAAGGATATAGATCTATCATAATGCCCAGTTACGTCACGAAGATAAATGCAGATTGAATCTTACATTTTGAAATGGCGGTTGCTGATTTTGGATCAAACCCAATGACCAGCATTAACATCGGAACAAATATGCCGCCGCCGCCAACACCGCCGACGCTCCCAAATGCTCCTCCCAAGGATCCAATCAACGTCCCAACAATAATTGGCCATCCAAATTTCATTTCCTGCATATTTAAGTGAGTAATCAAAGTTGACCTTAAAAGACACGACTTAGTAGCAGCAACATGCTTTCTATTACATGAGTCGTTAACCTTGAGGTTTTAGAGTGAGCTTGAGAGAAAACATGTCACGAGCTTAATGATAGCTATCTACTGAAACACAGCCTTCGTCCCGATAAAGATGAGGCGTCCTTAATTCGTGTATTCATGTTAGGAGAGTTTCTTTGATAGGACGGGGAGGTACAAGGAACTTACCGGCCAGACATGGTGATAACCAGAACGACCAGGGATCCATAAGAAATCCACGGCTTTGACCAGAAAATCAGAGAATGGGTCTGTTTGGTTCGAACCAGATGTGTCGCTTGGGACTCCTGCTTGAGCCGAAACAATAACTAAAGCTAGCAACAAAGGGAGGAAGACAGTGATGGACATGTTCTTGCAGACATGCCAGTCTGTTCTGATCCGAGCCATATTGAGAAGTAAGTGAGAGAAGCAGTTATACTCTGACTTCTTATATAAATCTAATCAACATCCATCATTATATTCCCGACTCTCGAGTCATATCAATGATCAATATATTATATAAAGTTACAGCCACGATCTCCTGGGGTTAAAAACATTTAAAAATTCTGGTCAAGAATGCACAATCACGTTACTCGTATTCTATATAATAATTAACTGCATCAAAGAAAATGCAATGCTGATTGGAATGGATCAAGGTCGATTCACGTAAATACTGAGCACAGAATAATTAGCCAGGAATAAAATCCAGTTAACTTATAATTTCATGCAGTTAGTGTGTGATTAGAAAAGAATGAGGAACAAGGATGAGCAATGATTAGGTTTATCTAAATAAGGTAGAAGCAAGTGACTGGTGGCCGTTCGTTTGGAGGATAGTTTTCCACGTCAGCAAATAATGGAGCTGAGCTTTGAAAGGCCGTGTCAAACTTGGCATCATTATGTGTGGGGGGGGGGGGGGAATTATTGAACCAGCTCACTGTCACTGAAGCGTTTGGTAACCTCTAGTCTGGTGGTTGGGTATATATGTGCATGTGCATGTCATCATGTCGGGGCCACTCCATTGATCAGTCCCATCCATCTCCCATTATGATCACGTGCATATATATACACACACACACGCTCACACACACATCCTATGGTGCAGAGATTATTGATCACACAATCCATGATCATATCAGCAGCAAATACCAACAGAATACATACAAAGGCATCATATAACACACACACACACACACCAACGCATACATACATCATCACTGGGATGAAATCGCAGCAAAGAGATTATTTACTTCTTTCACGTTTCATATATATATATAGAGACAGGCTCAAGTTACTTACTTCATTCTTCTTCTTTTTTGGCCAGAAAGTTATTTACTTCATTCACTCTTCATATATATCCAGATTTTGTCATTCATCTTTGATCCACTATCCAAGCAAAGCCTTAAATGGATCGGTATATATCTCGCGTCCGCATTCAGTGCCTGATGAGCAATCTGGGTCGTCCAAATCTAATCTGAACGGTCCAGATTTAATATTTTTAAATAATTATTTAAAAATAAAAAAGTATATTTTTAAAGAATGATAGTTAAGAGATTATCTTTATTTTTTATCATATACTTATTAAAATAATTATTTTAAAAAAATTAAAATCAAATTTGCACTGTCCAAATCTGATGAATATTATGTGCTTATCAAAACTGACGAGCACCCAATCCAAGTGTTATATATCTCACGTTGAGGGTTTCAAGTGGATATATATACGTGTCAACCTCCTATTCCACGCGTGATGTGGCGTGATGGGCACAGTTTTTCTTTTTCTTTTTTTTTTGGTTGTGTTTTTTATTTTCCTTCGTTTCTTGAGTGTTCATTAACGGGCATCATCACTCATCTGTCGTCTGGGAACCGTATCTCCTCGGCGGCTGAAATTCTCTGTATCCCTGTTAAGGTCAATCTAACACCTCACAAAATGCCACTTCATGGTGCTTTTAAAATTAAAAATTAAAACTAAATGTGAATCATTTTCATACAATTTTTTAATATTTCTGTGATTTTCCGGACCTGCCTCATTTCAAACTAAAAGATCTTTGTGATTAATCTATGCTAATTTACGCTGAGAGGGTTCAAATCCCCATGATCTCATTAGCAAAAGCCAGCCTTTTCTTCTTCAGTTTTCCTTCTTTCTGGCTTGAGTTTCTCATGGACTCTCTTTTGTTTCCCCCTCCCTCTCAACACAGCTTGAAAAACAAATCTCCTAAAATCATCTTGTTCTTCTTTCTTTCATATCTTCGCTTCTAAATACTCATTCATTTCGTTTTTTATCAAAATCTTTTTAGGAGGGCACTTAATCTCTTCCATGGTAAGTTTTTTCAACTCTCCTGTTTTTATTCTCGCTCCTTTCTTTTTTCCAATAATCTTTCTTCTTCCTTTTCAATTTTGCTACGTCTTTTGGATTGGGGAAAAAAAAAAGAAAGAAAGTGATTCAAATAATCTCACCTGGCTCAATGGCTTGCCCGACTTATGATTGGGTCAAAACCTCTCTTGGGGCTACCACCAACTAGACCCAAAAACTGTAGCCAGGGTCGGGTCAACCTTGCAATCTAGTCTAGTTATCAATTTACTATATACGTAGAATTACTACTTCAGTCAGCTTTATCATTTTTTGTCCTTTTCCTATTTTGTTTCTAGCAGCCTTTACATTTTTCATGAGATTTTGTGTTTTTTAATCCAATAATTTTGCTTCATGAAGCACGAAATCTTTTGTGATTGCGTCCACGTTTTTTAATAAGAAAAAAAGGAAAGAAGGGGGGGGTGGCATGTCTTTTTCCAATCATTAAATTCAAGCGACCCCCGCGCCACAAGTTCCCTCTTATCCGATAATCGTTCTCTCCTCTGTTCCTTTGAATAAGATCAAAATTATAGTTTTAAAAATATTTTTACAGTGTATGAGATAAATATGTGGAGGAGTTTATCTCAATTAGCAGAAAAGTGCTTCTGAAAAATATTTATCGGTCTTCCAAACACTCCTTTAATCATTTGAAAATCTCTTTCCTTTTTTGTTAGTTTGTGCGAAATTGTGCGCGTGCGCCGCGTAAGCGCTAGGGTAATATTACATGTAAAATTACCATGAACCCATGTTAGATGACTATTCTCTCTAAATCCCCGAAAGCTAATTAATATTATCTTTTATTCTTAATATAACAGTTTATTTGATTTTTAATTTGATTCTAATATAAGATCTCAATTCACTTTATTTTTTATATTTGTCTACTTTTTTTAAAATAATCATTGTAATAGTTACACGTGTTAAAGGTTAACAAGGATGTTTTGAAAAAGATAATAGTTGTTTATTATAAATAACTAACTTAATTAATTTTTTTTAATGTTCTTAAATTATTCAACTAAATTTTATACTAATGACAAAGATGATACTATTTTGTAATTAATGTCGGTTGAATTATTCAAACATCCAAAAACAGGGCATCTTTGCAATGGAGCCGCGTCGGATTAAAATAGATGAAAAATGGTTTTTAAAATATCAATGATTGCTTACATAGATAGAATACTTTACTACTGAATTATTATTAGCTCTTGCAAAACAAAGGTTGGTTATGCAGACAAGTTTTTTGTAGTCCTAATAATGAGGATAAAAATATTGACGTGTTGGCGTATTCAATCAGTTGCGTTCAGGCCATGCGCCACGTCTCACATGCACTGATCATGTGCTCTCCGGCGCTCACTTATAATTCAGAAAATGAATGTATTGTTTTTAATATAAAAATTAGTTTGATTTTTAATTTGATCTTAAATATAAGATTTTATTTATTTTATTTCTCATAGTTATTCATTTTTTAAGATAATTCTTGTAATAGTTGGGCATATTAAATATTTTATCAAATGTTAAAGCTAATATATTTTATTAATAAGGATATTTTACAAAAAATAACACTTATTTAATTTATTACAAATACAAATAACTAACTTAACAAGTTTTCTTAATATACTCATATCAATGAAAAGTATGAACATTTTTTCTTAGCATAGTTTTTTGTACAAAATAATTAATTTAGAAAACAATTTTTATCAGTTAGCCGCTCGCCTCAAATCTCAATCTACACAGGTGACACGACTACACGTCGTGCAGCATCCGCGATTCCGCGGGAACGAATATTTCCGGCCGCTTCACTTGACAAGTCTTCATTTATCTTGCGAGACGATCACAAGTCATTTTAAATACTACTATAAACAAGATCTTATGATTAAGATCGGAGGTAATACTGAATTACTCTTTATGTGTATAATTTAAACTTTTGGAGATTAAATTATACCTGAAGCGACTGTTTCTGTACGTCTTTTTTTCTAGGCAAAATGATATGGCAGCGCAGATTCATCGCCTGGGCCGAGGTGCATGATAAAAAACATTAATTGATGGAAATTCTTCAGCACCGTTCGTATATATAAGGGCATGAGAAATTGCTCCTCTCCGGCCCAAATGCTCAGTCCTCCTCAAAACTGTTATCCGGCCCACATAAATTTCCCACAAATTTTGTCTTATTTTTTCTACTCGCAACCCATAAATTAGAGGGACTCACCACATATTTTCATTGTTATACAACTGCAATAGTAATATCCAGCATGACCTAACAACTTTAGAAGCAACTATACGGTGAAGGAATCTATCTGCAGAAGTCGTCGAATCCCATGTATTCATTTTGCCGAATCTTTTCAATCATGTCTGATATCCCAACTCCACCTATAATCACAAACAGCTGTACTCTGCTAACCCACTGGCCGTTTCTGCATAAGAAGGAGCAGCACCAATCTAGTTCTTTTTCACTCTTAGTAATATATAATTATCAGAATATAATTGAGCATGCACTAGGTTAACTCTTTAATAAATACACGAACCAGCAGATTCCAAAAGCTTGGCGGTCTCCTGCAACTTCACAAACAAGAAAAACAGTAATTCAGTCCAGGGACGGTTGACTTCCCCTAAACCTGGGACTAGCGAAATGCAGCAACCTAATCAGAACGGTAACTTCCAAGGAAAAGGATTCACTTGAGTGAAGGCGTGGTCAGATGTGAACCTTTTTTACTCTGGTTTCCTGTTTCCATGCATCAGCACCCTTGAATGCCTTGATCGAGGTACCTGAAGGCGCCCAGATAGAATAGGAAGCATATGGATGTTGCCAAGTGAGGATATATTGAGTTAAAGCGAGTAACTAAACAGTAAACATCTGTCTGAACATTAATTACCTATGAAGATAATGATAAGAAGAACAGTGATCATCCAATTCGCAAATACAACACTCAAAGAGACTCCTACACTAATCCCCAGCATGATTATGGGCAACATAAGCAGTACAAGATTGTAGTCAATTAAGGGTATATCAAACGTAGGATGCCTCAGCTTCAAGTTGAAGTAAACAGCGGAGATGCCAGCCCCCGTGATCATACCTGCAACATCATTTTCTGGTAAGTATATTCATCGTAATGCCCAACTCATGTCACCAAGATGTAGATTGAATCTTACATTTTGAAATGGCGGTTGCTGATTTTGGATCAAACCCAATGACCAGCATTAACATCGGAACAAATATGCCGCCGCCGACAACGCCGCCGACGCTCCCAAATGCTCCTCCCAAGGATCCAATCAACGTCCCAACAATAATTGGCCATCCAAATTTCATTTCCTGCATATTTAAGTGAGTAATCAAAGTTGACCTTAAAAGACACGACTTAGTAGCAGCAACATGCTTTCTATTACATGAGTCGTTAACCTTGAGGTTTTAGAGTGAGCTTGAGAGAAAACATGTCACGAGCTTAATGATAGCTATCTACTGAAACACAGCCTTCGTCCCGATAAAGATGAGGCGTCCTTAAAGGGGTGAGGAAGAAAAACAAAGATCAACCTACTACCAAAAGGAAAGGTGATACCCCGCTGATTCATGTTAGGAAGTTTCTTTGATAGGACGGGGAGGTACAAGGAACTTACCGGCCAGACGTGTTCATAACCAGAACGACGAGGGATCCATAAGAAATCCATGGCTTTGACCAGAAAAGTAGAGAATGGGTCTGCTTGGTTTGCACCAGATTTGTCGCTTGGGACTCTTGCTTGAGCCGAAACAATAACTAAAGCTAGCAACAGAGGGAGAAAGACAGTGATGGACATGTTTTTGCAGACTTGCCAGTCTGTTCTGGTCAGCCATATTGAGGAGTGAGTGAGAGAACCAGTTATGCTCTTACTTCTTCTATATAATAATTAGGGTTAAAGTGCACCCAACACTCCCATGTATTTAGTCAGGTGCACCTAGTGGCCTGAAGTAATCTGTAGTGTAAATTTGCCCTCAAAGTAATTAAATTGGTGCACTGGTATCCCATGCTAACAGATCTGTTAGTTTGACCGTTAAATTGATGAGTCAGCACAAGTTTGACTAGAAAATCTGACGTGGCATGTCTAATAAGCAGGTGATGTGGAATTTTTTTGGGGTTAAAGTGCATCCAGCACCCCCAAGTATTTTTTCAGGTGCACCCAGTGGCCTAAAGTAATTTATGGTACAATTTTGCCTTCAAAGTAATTAAAATGGTGCACCGGTATCCTATGCTAACAGATCTCTACTTTGACTGTGAAATTGATGAGTCAGCACGAGTTTGACCAAAATAATCTGACCTGGCATGTCTAATAAGCAGGTGATGTAGAATTTTTTTCGTCTGCCACTGCTTTGTTTTCTCTGTTCAGTAAATGCTCTCTTCGGCTCTTGGAATTTTTTTCAGAGTAAGAAATTTTTTCAGAGATACTCCTCTAATCTTATTTATAGGGTGGAGAGAAAAGATATTTTTTGGTCCTATTTATAAAGCACTGAGAGAAATTTTTTGTATGAATGTACAAATTTACCCCTCATTTATTATTATATTGACTTTGTTTATATGAGGTATAATGTATATTAAATAGTAATAAAGTTGGAAAGTCATTAAAATTTAAATGAGAGTTAATGAAATTTAGGATTTTCCTTGGTCTGTGTGAGACATACTGGAAGTGCGTTATAAATAAGACTAGAGGAGTAATATTCAGACAAAACAATGGAATTAACAAGAAAAGCCATGTCACCTGCTTATTAGACATGCTAGGTCAGATTATTTTAGTCAAACTTGTGCTAACTTATCAATTTCACAGTCAAAGTAACAGATTTGTTAGCATGGGATATCGGTGCACCATTTTAATTACTTTGAGGGGAAAATTGCACCATAAATTACTTTAGGCCACTGGGTGCACCTGGAAAAATACTTGGAGGTGCTAGATGCACCTTAACCCCGAAAAAATTCCACATCACCTTCTTATTAGACATGCCACGTCAGATTTTCTGGTCAAATTTGTGCTGACTCATCAATTTAATGGTCAAACTAACAGATCTGTTAGCATGGGATACCGGTGCACTGATTTAATTACTTTGAGGGCAAATTTGCACCATAAATTACTTCAGGCCACTGGGTGCACTTGGCTAAATACATGGGGGTGCTGGGTGCACCTTAACCCTAATAATTATATATATAATGATGGTTATGTATCAAAGAAAATGCGATGCTCATTGAAACTGAAGTGGACTCATGTAAATACCGAGCGTAGAATTAGCCAGGAATAAAATCCAGTGAACTTGTAACTTATAATCTCATGCAGTTCGTGTATGATTAAAAAAGAATTATAGGAACAAGGATGACCAGTTAGTTTTGTCTAAACAAGGCAGAAGCAAGTGATTGGAGGCCGTTCGTTTCGAGGATAGCTTTCCACGTCAGTATATGATCTGAGCTTCGGAGTCCCATCAAAGCTAGCACCAGTCTGTGGGGAAAATTGAAGGAGCTCACTACTGTCACTAATGCGTTTTCTGACCTCTGCTCTGGCTTTTGGGTACATATGTGCAGGTGGGCGCACGTCATCAAGTCGGACCACTCCATTGATCAGTCCCATCCGTGTCCCCTGATTCAGGTGCATACATTTGCATGTATACATATATATATATATTCACACACACACATATCCTCTCATGGATCCATGCTCACATCAGCAGCAAATACCAACAGAATACATATAAGAGCATTATACACGCGCAAGCACGCGCGCACATCCTATCAGGTATCAGCATACATATACCGACCCTTCATCACTAGGACGAAATCGCTTTTGTTTAGTCAAAGGTATCCGTTGTTAGTAATGACAAATCACCTTGCGCCCTAGAATTTCCGAAAAGAAATTGGTGTGGCCCACTTCATTCAAATTTTATCATTTATCTCTGAATCAGTAGCCAAGGTACTAAAACCCCACAAATTAATAGGCTTGAGAGAGCAGTAAAGACTAAGGATAGTGATAGTTAAATTAATTTAATTAGAATATGTAAAAATATTTATTGTTTTTATAAAAACAATATATAATCCAAAGCAAAATCTTAGATAGGTGCGTCGAGTGTTCAAGTGTATAAAATCAGTCTCATTTATACGTTTCAGCCACCTATTTCAGTGTCTCATTTATACGTGTCAACCTCCTCTTTCACGTGTGATGGGGGTTGATAGGACACAACTTTCGCTTTTCTTTTGTCTTTTTTGTCTTCCTTATTTTCTTTCATTTTCCCGAGCGTTTAACAGGCATCATCATTCATGATTCAACAGTCGTCTCAGAATCATATCTCCTCAGCGGCTGAAATTCTCAGAAGATCGTGCATTTAAAATTAAAAATAAATGTGAATTGCTTTCAAACAAATTTTGAATATTTTTTTGTGTGATTTTCTGGACCTACCTCATTGCAATTAGAGGATTTAGAACTAATCTGAATTGAGTCATTACCAGCTCTGCCACAGTTTTTATTCTCTCTCCTTTCTTCTGCTTTTATCCGATAATCTTCTTCCTTCTCAATTTCTTGTCTTTTGCATAAAAAAGTGATCCAAATAATCCGCCCAGTTCAATGGGCTACCCGACTTCTCATTGGGTCAAAATCCCCCGTGTTGTTGCCATCAGTTAGACCCAAATTTTTGTTTTTAAAAAAAAAACCTGAGTCTTTGGTTTCGGGTCAATCCTACGGATCTGGTCTAGTTTTCCTTTTTCTAACCAACGCGAGCATCTACTGGGAGAATTACCATACCACTTTAGTCAAAGTCAACTCTATCAAAATTTTTGTCCTTTCCCTGTTTTGTTTTCACTGGCCTTTGCATTTTTCCCACTGCTTGTCTGCATAGCGAAGCATGTCGAGCCGCAGGAACGGGTATTTCCCACTGCTTCACTTCACAAGTCTTTATTTATTTTAAGAAATGGTCACAAGCAATCTTGAATATTAAATTCCTTTTCATCATTTTATGCGTATAATTCAAACTTCTGGCAATTAATTGTACTTAGAGCGATTGTTTCGGTACATGGCATTTTTGTTTTTGCAAAATGAAATGGCTGCGCAGATTCATCAACTGGGCCAAGGCCCAAGGTATATAAAAAACAATTTTTCTTACCATCATAATAAAAAGCAGTAGGTGATGGAAATGCTTCAGCCCCGTCGTATAAACGGGGGCATGGGATATCGAACCTGTCCGGGCCGAATGCGTTCAGTCCACCCCAACACTATTATCCGGCCCAAATAAATTTCCTACAAATTTTGTCTTATTTTTTCTGCCCATTTAAGTCTTACTGCCGAATTCACTCCTAACCCATAAATTAGAGGACTCGCTACATATGTTCATTGCCATGCATTAAAAAAAAAAAAAGAAGACATTCAACTGCAAGAATCATATTCAACGTGGCCTTTAGAACTTTAGATGCAACGATGCGGTGAAGGAATCTATCTGCAGAAGTCGTCAAATCCCATGTATTCATTCTGCTGAATCTTTTCAATCATGTCTGATACACCAACTCCACCTATAATCACAAACAAAGAACCATAAAACCACAAAACGCACCGAAAGGCCAATCAGTCAAAAATAATAAATCAAAAACAAAAACAATAATACACAGCCTAACTTCTTGCAGGACACTTACCCAATGCAATTGCGCTAACAAATACGGTGAAGGCCACAACAAAGATAATCAGAGACGCCCTTCCGAATAATCTAACCAGCTTATCAATGACATATTGCCCTAAATACGCTGAAATGGCTGCCACAGTGGTCAGATACAGAGCTGCAAAACAAAACACCAAATCATTATCTCATGTTACTTTGATTTCTGAACCAAAACAAAGGAATAAAAAAGCAGAAACCGATGAATATTACGCCACAATTTACCATAAGGAACAGGAAAACGGTTCAAGAGGTAATACTGCACAACAGATATAGATGCTGAGAATGCCATTCCTAACGTAGCCGTGGCACTGGCTACCTGCAGCGCCATTTTTCGACATGAATAACTTAACACGCTTTGTGAATTCCCACGTAATGTCCTTAACATATACAAAAAGAAGGCAAACTTACCTGAGGAGCGATTCCTAGTTCCATAAATAAGGGACCCATGACAAATCCACTACCTACGCCGAGAAGGCCAGCGATAATTCCGGCGGACAGAGCGCAAACAATGGCCAGAATCAGATGGTGCAATGGCAAACGAGTGCCTTCTTCTCCTTTGGAAGGAATAGCTCTCCATCCCTGATAGAGGCCTATTGCTTGGTACAGATACACTCCAAACGAAACCGGTACCTGCAAAATATCACAAAATTAAAGCGATGGTTCTTCATTTTAAGCCATACCTTGGACATGCATATAGTTTTCTTACCTGGAAAAAGTTTACTATCCAGAACGTGACTGAACAGGTAGCTGTGTAAGTCTGTGAGAAGCATGTTTGACTGTTAGTTTCAGAGAATGTTCAAAGGAAAGAGGGGAGGATGTAGGGAAAGCCGAAAGTGACCTTGGCAATCTGCAGGATAACGTATGAGAGCCAGACGAAGCAAAGAAGTCCGAATTCTTTCCAATAAATGTTGCCAATAATGGAAACCTGAATCAATCAATAGTTTGATCAAGTAAACAAGGGTCAGGATTTAATTAAAAGAAAAAGACAGATTATGATGAGAGATGTTAAGTCAAACATGATCGCTTATAGTTTGCAAACCTGAGTTTTTTTAGTGTCCTTTTGAGGCCCTGCAGGAAGCAAGCTGTACCCTGCTAACCCGTTAGCCGTTTCTGCATAAAAGACAGAAAGCGCCAATCTAGTTTTTTCTCTCTCTGTCATATATAAATATAAAGATACTATTGAGCGTGCACAAAATTAACCCTTTAAGAAATACACGAACCAGAAGACTCGAAAAGCTTGGCGCTCTCCTGCTATTAAAAAAGGAAAAGAAAAAGAAAAAAAAGTATTAACTCTATATTTAACTCAGTCTAGGGATGGTTGACTTTCTCCAGGCAAAAGGATTCACATGCATGAATGCCTGGTTAGATATATGAACCTGTTTTACTTTGGTTTCCATTTTCCAGGTGTCAGCACCCTTGAAGAATGCCTTGATTGAGGTACCTGTAGGGGCCCGGATAGAAAATGAAGCATATGGATGAAGCAAATAACTAAACAGTAAAGACCTATTTGAACATTTCATTACCTATAAAGATAAGGATCAGAAGAACAGTGATCATCCAATTCGCAAATACAACACTGAAATAGACTCCTGTAGTAATCCCCAGCATGATTATGGGCAACATAAGCAGCACAATATTATAGTCAATTAAGGGTATATCAAACGTAGGATTCTTCAGCTTCAGGTTGAAGTAAACAGTCGAGATGCCTGCCCCCGTGATCATACCTGCAAGACCATTTTCTAAGTATATCTATCGTAATGCCCTGTCATGTCACAAAGATATATGTAGATTGAATCTTACATTTTGAAATGGCGGTTGCTGATTTTGGATCAAACCCAATGACCAGCATCAACATCGGAACAAAGAAACCGCCGCCGCCAACACCGCCGACGCTCCCGAATGCTCCTCCTAAGGATGCAATGAACGTCCCAGCAATGATTGGCCACCCAAATTTCATTTCCTACATATTTAATAGTTACAACGCAAGAGTAATAATCAAAGCTGGGAAATCATTGGAACAGAAACATTTAGGACCTTAAAAGATCACACAACTTAGTAGCAACATGCTTCCTATTACATGAGTCGAAACGTTGAGGTTTCAGAGCGCGCTTGAGAGAAAATACAACTTTTAACACGACAGAGATGAGGCATCATCGTCATTTTAGAGAAGTTTCTTTGATAGCAAGGAGAGATGAGAAACTTACCGGCCAGACATGTTGATAACCAGATCGAGCAGGGTCCCATAAGAAATCTATGGCTTTGACCAGATAAGTAGAGAATGAATCTGTTTGGTTCGAACCATGTGTCTCGCTTGGGACTCTTGCTGCTTGAGCCGAAACAATAACTAGAGCAAGGAACAAAGGGAATAAGACAACCATGGACATATTTTGCCAGACTTGCCAATCTGTTCCGATTGGAGCCATTGAGGTCGGAGTGAGTGAGAACCAGTCGCTGCTCTTGCTCTTTCTTATATAGAGGCAAGGTTTTTCCCATGAAGATCTAATCAGCATCAATCCCGATTCCCGAATCATCATTTTATTATATAAAATTATACCCAACTCCTGGGGTTAAAAACATTTTAAAAAAAAAAAAAACAGGTCAAGAATTAACAGTAATTGTGCAGGATCACGTGACTCATATTTTATATTATAATAATAATAACATAAGGACGATTGAAATTAGAGTGTGGATGCATATGAATACTATACGTAGAATTACAAACAAGGATCACAATGATTAATTAGTCCCATGATTCACGTGCATGTCTTTTTAATTATAACTTCAATCTGTAAATATACAAATATATATACATATATAAATAGAAATTAGGTGCAGCCAACATTATTCGCATATCAGCAGCAAATACGAACATAATACATACAAAAGCATTATATATATGTATATATATATCCTATCAGCATACACGTACGTTTATAAGATCCTAAAATGCCTATCCAAACTATATTCCTATCAACACATCATCGCTGGGACGATCGAAATCGATCGCACCAAAGAGATTATTTTTAATTAGCTAGCTTTGATGAAAACCATCCATGACTGATGCACACCAGCAACAAGCCACAGGCTTCAAGGGATTTCATTTCAGAGAGGGAAGATTAGAAGTTCATTTTGTCCATCTGATCGATCAATGACGTGGGAAAATACATCTTCTCCACTCTATGAATCCAACGGCTCTAAGTTATTTGCTTCATTCAGATTTTATCATTTTATCTGAACCAGTTGCAATGTAGAATTATCTTCGGTCAACTCTATCATTCTTTTTGTGCTTTCCCTATTTTGTTTTTACCAGCCCTTACATTACATCCTCCCGAAAACGTAGATCTTGTAAGGTTTTTTACCCAATAACCTCTCTTCTTGAATCACGAAATCTTTTGTGATTGGTCCACATTGTTTTTCTTTTTTAAAAAGAAAAGGTTGGCCTGTCTTTTTCCAATCAAATTCAACCCGATGCTATGGGTTCCCCCTTCTCCAATCAGATCTGCCGCCTCCTCTATCATTTTCTACTCCTTTCCTTTGCTTTATCATTTTAAAAATCTTTCTTTCGTTTTTGTTTGTTCGTAGGGCTGCTTAATTAGTGGGAGGTGATGATATATGCTAGCGTAGTATTTTTATGTAAAAGTGTCATGAATCCATATTATTAGACGACAGTTCTGTTTAGATCCTCAAAAGCTTATCCTTCATTTGGAATTTTTTATTTTTATTTTTTATAGTGTTTCATGACTTCACTCGTTCATTGTATGCTTATGGATTTTCAGACCATTAGGGGGCGCCACCTTGCCCTGATATGACATCTAGCTACTTCTACACCAAGTTGTTTTTTCTTCTTAGCCCAACTTCCATGCCAAGTGGTTGAAAAGGTACATTTTCAGTCTTATATATTTTATAAGGTTGTCTAATGTCACTATTAATTAAAATTGTGAGCAACATCATACATACGATCTGAGGTCATAAAATTAAGTACAGACGCTGAAATGGTAGTATTAGTTTCAGGTTTGCACAGTATCAGTTGAATGACTTGAACATCCAAAAACAGCACAGCTTTGCAATACTAAAATTTAAAGAAATGAATAATGCTTTGTAAACAAATTAAATTAGTTATTGTATAGACAATTGGGATATTATTAGCTTTTGAAAAGAACAAGGTTGGTTGTAGAAAAGCTGTCCTAATCCTAACAGTGAACATAAAATGTGTTGATATAATCGATCATTTACGTTCAGACCGAGCTCACCTCTCACGTGCACTGCACATGGACACTCTAGCTCTCGATGATAATTCAAACACGTATATTATTTTTTTTTTTTGTTGCCACACATAGATATTTTCTTATTAAAAATTATATTTGAGGCACTGATCGAGTATTAGACATGAAAGTACATTTCTCAATAAGAAATTCAAATCTTGGTTTGTTTTATTGCAAACTCACGAGGGAACAGTCATTTTTATTAAATTTAAAGGTTTATTAATATTTTTCAAAGTAGGTTTTTTCCATAAAACAATTAATTAACAATTTTTATCAGTTAGCTGTTCGGATCAATCCGCGTAACTCGAAGTATCTTGGCCTGCAGGAACGAATATTTTCCAACCGCTTCACTTAACAAATCTTTTGTTTATTTTAAGAAATGATCACAAGCAATTTTGAATATCAAATTCTTCTTTATGATTATAAATTAAACTTTTGGTTATTAAATTATACTTGAAGCGACTTTTTCTGCACGATCGCGTGTTTTTTTTTTTTGGCCCCCTTGGATTGGAAAGCTACTTTGGTGAAAATGATATTGGAAGCTCAGAGTCATCAACTTGGCCAAGGAGCATAATATATACTACATCCGATCCTTCATATAAGAGTTAGTTGACTAATTTGAATAGATTAAAATTAGTTATTTGTAATAAATACATATTGTCTTTTCTAAAATATTTTTGCTAATCAAGTATATTGGATCATCGAATTACCATTATTATAAGACTACCTTAGAAAAAAAAATGAATGAATATGAGAAACAAAATGAATTAAAGTCTTATATTTAGGATCAAAATAAAAATAAAACAAGATCTTATATTAAGCACCAGAGGTAGTACATACTATTAATATATAGTCTTACAAGCTCCTAAAACTTTGATGTTGATTATATTACTTGGACACACAAATACACGAACTGTTTTTTTTCCTCCGTCTGCAATATTATCGACAAGCCCTCTATAATATTACATTCGATTCTTAATATAACAATTAGTTTGATTTTAAATCTGGTATTAAATATAAGATGATAATTTACTTCATCTCTTAATTATATTTATTTATTTTTCTTAAAATAGTCTTTATAATAGTTACATGTGTTAAATATTTCATTAAATGGTAATTCTAGCTAATAATATATATTGTTAGTAAAGATATTCTAAAAAAACAACACCTATTTATTATTAATGACAAACTTAACTAATTTTTTTAATATACTCAAATTAATTAACTAATTCTTGTATTGAGTACCGGAAGTAGTATTATAAGTTGTAGTATACTCTGGTGACAGAAATCAAGACGTGGGCTGCAAAGGATTGGGAAGTGAAAGTGGAATGGTGCAACCGCGAAGTGAACCAAGCGGCAGATTGTCTTACTAAACGAGCGCTAGGAGCAGCTGAAGGCATTACGTGTTTCAGTTCCCCCTCCGGATTTTCTTACTGCTTTTTTAGCTTCTGATTTAGACGCTTCGTAGCTTTGTAATGTCCTCTCCCCAATCAAAAAAAAAAAAATATAGACAAATTAGACAACAAGGATTCTATCCATGAAAGTTGAAAAAGAGTTTTAAAAGACTTATTATCATTTTTGGAATTATTATTTATATCGTGCATATGACGTGACAATGGAAAAATATCTAGTTTAAAAAGAAGGGAAAGTTCTGATCAAAAGTGTTTGAGTAGTTTATTAATCAAATGAACCTGATGCAATGCACTTTTAACGAGTTCAATTAACTTCTTCTCAGTTATGTGTAACAATTTTCAAAATAAACTAACTTCTTTTCAGTTGTGTGTAACAATTTTCAGAATAAACATCAGTGCACATATTATACATGGTAAAAAAAGAGTTGTGTCCACTAAAAATGAATTAAATAAGTTATTACACCTTCTCAAATTCATGTCCCTTTAGCTCCTAAAAAGCTACCTTTAATCAATTTTTCTTAAATAATCTACTTGAAATTAAAAATTAAACAATCTCTTGGCACGGTTAAAGCACATATTCATCAACTTGGCCAAAGAGCATACTTTACATACTGTCTTACAGGCCCCTAAAATTTCAGTGTTGATGATGACATTACTTGGATAAACACATGCAAAGTTTTCTTTTTCTGTCTACAACATTATAGACAGGCCGTTTAATCATTATACCATTACATTCAAGTTGTGAAATACAGACAAATTAGACAACGAGGATTCTATCCATAAACTTTTAAAAAGCTTTGCTACCATTTTTTGAATTATTATTTATATTGTGCATGTCATCAAAAGAGCGAGATATTTAGTTTAAAAAATTCTACTTGGAATTAAAAATTAAACAACGTCCTGTCGCGGTCAACATACTCAGACAGTTCATCAACTTGGCCAAGGAGCACACTACATAGTCTTACGATGGCCCCTAAAACTTCAGTGTCGATGAAATTACTTTGGAATTTGGATAAACACATACTTTTTTTTTTCCTGTCACAGCATATAAATCTTTATAACATTACACTCAAGTTGTAAAGTAAAGACAAATTAGACAACGAGGATTCTATCCATAACATAGTTTAGAAAAGATTAAATGCAACTTTTTGAATTATTATAATCATATTGGTGCACGACATCACAAGGGAAAAATATCTAGTTAATTGAGAAAAATCTACTTGGAATTCAGAATTAAAGAACCTTGTCGCTGTTAACACAGACAGTTTTGGTCTGCACAGCATTCTTTTGAACTCGATCAAGAATCTGCAGTGTTTATCTTCCCAGCATTTTTATATCAACAACATCGATCACCAACCAAAGTTAAATGAATAAACAACCCCATTAATTAATCCCTTGAAAAGTGCATGTGTTGTAATCAGCCTGTCCCTATGCATGCTGCAAAAGCCGCCACGATGGTAAGATACACAGCTGCAAAACGCAACAAAACCAGTTACATATATTACTTTACGGTTTTGAGCCAAAATAAAACAAACGAATAAAAAACAGTAATTGATGGGAATTCTCAGGCGTCTGTCGGGGGCATGAGATATCTGGCACCAGACATCATCAATTTCGAGTTTCAACATGTTCTGAACTTGTCCGGCGCAAACGCGTTCGGTCCATCCCTTCAGTGTTTTCCGGCCCTAATAAATTCCCTACAAATTTTGTCTTATTTTCTACCTATTTAAGTCTAGTCCTGTTT